ACGATCAGAAGCTCCAGAGCAGCTACTAAAAATGGACCTTTTAGTGACCAAAGTCCAAGTGACCATTTCCAAATTCAAGACCGGACAAAGAACAATCTGAAATCTGCTTAGTTTTCTTTTTTCTCAGAGTGACTTCACATTTTGATAGGTTCATTTTGTATATAAGACATTTAAGTTAGAACCGACCTGAGTGAACAAAGGTCAACTTTGTCAGCTCTTCTGACAGACACTGTTTCAAACCTGCTGCTCTGCATCAACAACTGTTTTTATTTGGCACATATAACTACTAGGTTAGTGTGCCAGTGTTACTGCTACAAGGTATTTCCCCCTCTGTAACAAATCAAAGCTGACTACAGATATTTTGAGGACACCTGTCATTAAGGTATTTGACCCAAAAAGAAATTGTTCTCTCTGCCAAATACAGCTGGAAGAAAGTGTGTCAGCCAACACCACATGATGCAGCAGACACCTGTAACGACAGCACCGTCTGTGTAAGAATCTCTGTTGTCAGACTGGCTGGCTACTTTCTATCTGACGGGACCGTGAGATGGTTCTTAGGTGACGTGTGATAATCTCAGCTACCTCATAATTAAATGTGGCTATATTCCCCTTCACCAGTGAAGAGACCTGGAGGCTCTGACTGACACCACAACAAGATACCTGTCATTAGGGATGGGGCTGAATGATTAACTGCATGCACACGACACGCGAGAGTAAAGCAGTCTGCAGAGGAAGCATCAAGCTCGCACGCTACGCTGTACCGTGACTTGTTGTACAATGACCTCAGGCTGGGCGATGTGGCCAAAACTGTTACCACGAACAAACATTTCATATTATTCGATAGATAATTATCACAATAAATGTCAAATGTTCCTTTCAAGTTTAAAGGTTGATTTAATCGGAGGTAGAACATTCAAAACTATTATGATAAAATCTGTTGTAATATTTTCAGTCCCTTTCCTCAAAAACATTTTTTATATATATAAAAAATTATATTGCGATAATTGTTATTTTATTGCCCAGCTCTACCTCAGGCTCGACAGAACCTGAGACTGCGGAAACTTTAGTGTCAAACAGATGTGGAGAGACTACGGTGGGTGGGTCAGAGATCCAAGAGGGTCCGTTTTATACTTTCTGTGAATATAATCTTATTCCATCCTGTGTAGACACCTTATTTTGAAAACCAGACGTTGTCACATGTGTTTCCTCCTGAAATCGTCAAGACCCAATTTGATAAATAATGTGTGATGTGGTTATTATATTATAATTATTATAATTCATGCATCTGCTAATTTCATAACATGTAGGCTTGGCCTACAGGAAAGAATAGTCTGTTTAACCTCATATTGTGTCTGTTTTGAGTAATACAGAAGATAAAGAGCTTAAAAATATATCCATAATTGTTCAGCCCTAGCTGGGGATTTAACATAATCCATTACAAAAATACATTTGCATGACTCGTGTCGCTGCACAAGGTCTAAGCAGGGATTCCCCAAGAAAATAAGCTACAGCGTTCAAGTTTTGGAGGCTTCTAGACAGACTCAAGAACGCGGTACTCTCAACTGGAAATGCAGGAGCGCTACTGCTGTGCACGAACACGTGAAGTAAAATTATCCCGGATCGCTGTGTCAAGAACAGCAGCAACATTTTAAATCGCTCCTTGTTGTTAAAAAGTCGTTTCTGACCACTAGCATGTAACGCAACACCACGTGTCATTTAATGTTTGCCCAGTTTATATTTGCTGTTTATTTAAACAGCCGTGCATGAGAGAGAAAATTTCAGGTGCAGTATTTTTATGACCCGGCATCAAAGCAATGACATTTTAAAAGACATGCCACTATTCTACTCAGATTATGCGTCTTTTCCAGGATAACTGAATAATATATTATTAATGAGATGTTTGATATTTCTTTTGAATAAATTGTTATCTTAATCAAGTAATAAAAATCCTCAGATCATCATAAATAAATTAGTTGTTAGGTTAATCAATTGGAAAAGTTATTGTTAGGTGGAGCCCTGTCTGTCATAAATCTGAGGTGAGGACATGAGCAGATAAAGATTTTGTTTAACATCCTACAGTCTTGCTTGAGATTATTTTACGATAATTATTGTAATCATAGTTTTGAGCTCACCTAAACTTAAAGATGAAATGCTTTACAGGTGGGCACCTACCTGGCTGTATTTGCCGTCCTTGACGTCCTTCTGCCTGTTGAGGAACCAGTCTGGGATTTTGTACTGGCGAGGATTCTGCATGATGGTCACCACACGCTCAACCTGAAAAACAAACGCAGCTGTTAATTCATACATTCTCACAGACCCCAACAGTTAAAACATGATACAACGCCACATCTATTAAGCTGCTGCAGCATCTGCACACATGCACCTCTACAGGGAAGCTAAATCGTCAACGTACTGTCTGGAAATCATACCCTACTGTATTACAAAATCATCAATTCTCAAGTTTCATGGAAGGACAATGGGGTATTTTTCTTGCTGACCGTGTGGTGCGACTGCTGTTGGCTAAGAAGTTTTCCAAAATGTGCAGCGACGCTACAGAATCAGAGTATAGAGAAATTTGGCTTTTTGTCCAATCAAAATAGCTGTGTGTGTGGTAAAGTAACCATCAAACCGTCTATGCATTTAAAAATACATCCTACTGTGGCTAGTGTTGAACTTAATGCAGAAGAAGCAGCTTTAAATCTGATGTAACCAAGGGGGGAAGCCACAGTTGAAACAGTGAAGCCGACCAAAGCCTGCACGGACGGTTCCATGTAGGCCCAAAAATGACGTCAAACCCTGTGACATCGCGTCGCACGCCTCTGGACCAACTAGCACGAAAGGCAGGCGTCTTATCCACTGCACCATCACCACCCTTACATAACTTCTGAACTCAAAAGCTACATTTCTTAATTTTATGCATTATCCCAAAAATCCTGAAACAGCCCATGAAATAAATGGTCTAGTAGCAGGATTTGAAGTCAGCAGGGATCCAGATCGACGCTCATAGAGCAACACAGACGTCTTCACTATTTAGGTGAAACAGTGAAATCAAGTCATGATGGGAAAAGGAAACGATGTCGAGCAGAGATGATGAATATCTGAGCTAACCCTAAAAATACTGATATTACTACATTTACAGCTCTTTGTTAAGTTGCACCAGAGATGATAAAAATCAAAACACCCGTCCTGCTGTCGGGACCGTCTCCTACAATGTGAGAAATCTAAGAACCCTCGACAGACGCCCGGTTCTCCTCACCTCCTCATCAGTCAGCTCTCCAGCCCTCTTGCTGAGGTCGATGTCGGCCTTCCTCAGGACGACATGGGCGTAACGTCTGCCAACACCCTGAGACAAACGGGGACATTAGGGTCATTGTACACCCAATACACAAGATTAATGTCTCGTGTGCAAAATTCGACATCAGAAAACACGCTGTAAATATATTCATGCTAATCAGTCGGTCTTATACTGAAAATTCAAAAGGATGAAGCTCTACGTGCAGGTAAAACGTTCCCATTCTGCGCTTTATATTTCAGAGAAAACCTCACCTTGATGGCAGTGATGGCGAAGGCGATCTTCCTCCTACCATCGATGTTCGTGTTGAGAACACGAAGAATGTGCTGGAACTTCTCTGGGATGACAAGCGACTGAAAAACAACACACACACACCATCAGGGTCGCATGAACGTCAGAATCAACGTTGCCATCGCTCACTTTTAGATACGAGTTTGAAATGCTGAAGCAATGCTGGTGGCAACACTTCTCTGACCCAGAGGCATTTACGGTCAGTGTTGCATTTAAGGCTACGTGTTGGTACTGCTTGCTGCTGTAGTAGTGGTGAATTAATGCGCTTGTGTTGTCTCCAAGTCACTTTCAACCTTGGAACTTTAAAAATTACGGTTAAATTCATGTATAATGCAGCAAAATGTGCGCCGGATGCCTCAATGACCATCTGACAGTGTTTCCAACCTGTTTTCAAACCTAGTAGCATGTTTAACTTGACAAACTACTGAATTTCACACAGACCACATCTTAATAAACTGAACAAGAGGCACAACTCCTGACTTCTGTAAAGTTCAGCCGAAATAAATGCCTTCACATTAAAAGATCTGTTGTTATTTAATATTTAAGATTATCTTACACTGTCTGATCAGTAACTTTGTTGGTCGGGGCCAAATACATTTAAGCTCTGGACTCTGGGCTGAAGTGTGGCATCTCTGTGCAGCTAACGTTACACTCAACACATTTGGCTCCAGTTAGCAAAGCTACAAGAGCTGTTGCTGCTCTCATAACCAGCTTCCAGGCATCTCCAAACCCTTAAATACGACCCAACTGCAAACCAAAGCAACAGAACACTCTAACTAATCCGGCAAACAGTGTATTTACACTCACTAACATCCACTTTGTCTCCCAACATGATAATGATCACTGGAACATGTTAAAGCTAGTTAGCCTTTGCAGCTAGCCGCCTTCACTTCAACACGGATGTTTCTTTAAACTTGTTAGCCGGTAAATTGAAACCGTACAGGGGTTACAGCTCTGCTTTAAATCGTGAATAAACTAAATATATGTGAACATAAGCCACGGACAGGAACTTTAGTGAGCCACCCGCGCTACTTAGCCACCATCCGTCCGTTCAGCCCGGTCCAACGCCGACAGTAAACTGCGTTAATACGTCCATTTCTGCTACTAATATTCCAACAATTCCACTTTATTCCGCTCGCAGAAGCTATATAATATTAATAACGGGTGTAAATGTAATACATGAGTAAGATTACAGCTAGATGATTACAGATTTTAAAACTAGTCCAGGTTGACAGAAAATGAACTCACCATCTTGGAAGCAGGTTCCGTGCGAAGAGGAAGCCGCAAGGTTCTCGCGAGAGTTTGTCGCTGTCGGCAACGGAAGTCAGTCCGTCGCTTTCTATCTGTCCGACGACGCAATTAAACAACGGTTGGATTAAACAAATGATAAATATAGCTTTGCTAACGCAGTCACAACAAAAAGTAATACATAATTGGAGTTTAGTTTGTATGTAATCACATTGATATTTTTGTTTGGTTCCTAAACGCCTGGACGCCTTTTTGTTTTCGGGGACGAAGAAGCGGAACATTTGTAGTTTTTTTTGGACGTTAGCCTAAATTCGCCGCAATGGCGGAGGGAGCGGCGGCTGCTGTTGGACCTGGTTCCGATGTAAACACAGCTGGAAACCCCACCGAAATCGCGATGGCGTATTTACAAGATGAGGTTGACTTTTGATTACTTATATTTGAATCAGCTGTTGTGAAAAACTAAGATAATCAGCGGTTTCTGCGCTGTTTCACTCCTGTGTCCTGTTAGCATTCATAACAAGAAGCATTATCAATGAACTGTAACGTTAGATTTAGCTCACTGGCGTGTTTCTTGTTAGAATAACATCTAGGTGAATCAAAATGTTGTGATACTAAACAAGATCTTGCCAAATTGTGTATTTTGACAACGTGTATTCATGTCGCTTGAAGCTAATGTGACGTTAGCTGTTAGCATCCTGTCAAAACACCGAACAGCTCAGTTATTTCCTGAATGCATCCTGTGACAACAAAGGGTGTTTAAACGGATTAGGCTTTCAATCTTATTGTATTAATTAGTCATAAAGCAAAGATATCTGTTTGCGGCTTCATACGTGTGAATATTTGTTCAAATTCAACAAATCCTGCACTGTCACTGCCCCAGTGGCTGATGCCACTACAGAGTCAGGAAAATCCTTATTAAAGAAGACCTGAGTTTCCTTAGCAGATACAGTCTGCTCTGGCCTTTTTTGTAAAGTGCTATCCAGTCCAGTCTATTGTTCAGGTGAACACCCAGGTACTTGTAAGATGCTACCGTGTCAGATCCGTACCCAGGATGTTCACCGGTAGAGGAGGAGAGTATTTGCTCCTGCAGACATCCACCACCAGCATTGATCTGGAGGTGGTTCAGCTGGCACCAGGCCACAAAATCCTGCTTCAGTTCTCTGTACTCCCTGTCGCCACCACCTGTTACGTGGCCAACCACTGCAAAGTGGTGAGAGAACTTTTTTATGTGGCAGTTATCCGAGTTAAATGTGAAGTCTGCAGCGGAGAGGCTGAACAGGAACAGGGTCAAAACTGTCAGATAAACTGAGTTTCTTTTATTAATTTATGTATGTTAACTATTTATGTGTTAAAGATAGACCCACCACTTAAAACAAAATAGTTGTCTGAAATAATTATGTGTGTGTGATTCTATTTGTTTCTGCTAGAAGACTGATGGAGACATCGCTAACCTCAACCTGGGAGAACTGGACATCACCACTGATGAGTTTATCTTGGATGAAGTGGACAGTAAGGCAACATTAGGGCATTAATTAGCAATTAATATGTCCCATTGTGATCAAGACGCGAAGGAGAACAACACAGATGAATGGAGCGCCCTTGTTGGCCTGACAGCATCATCATTTGCAAACAATATGTTTACAGTGCCTTTCTAGAGTTAAAACAGGCAGAGTAAACCTTAGCAAAGGATTAGTTGCCACATGAGGATAATAAAAGAATATTACAATTTGAATGTTTTACAAACTGTAGCAGGTCCTTACATTTTATAAAGTCACATTCAGACCTTATAAAACCTCCTGCATGGAAGGAACTACCAGTTAAAAGCCATAACAGTCTTCTCAGTCAATGTTTTTGTTAAAGAGAAGCTGTAGGTGAACACCATCTGTTGTCCACAGCTTCTGTTGGATGTTTAATTTGTCATGAAGGCTGATCCTTTCTGCCTGTTCCTCTGCAGTTCACATCCAGGCCAACCTGGAAGATGACCTCGTGAAGGAGGCGCTTAAAACGGTGAGAACCTCATGATACTTATATTTGATCAGACAGGCTGGAGTGCAGGATTTAACATGGACGTCTGAGAGAGTGGTGAATGGAGGTGAATATCACCCGTCATGGATTCCTGCTGCTGTCTGTAAAAAGACAAAGAGTTTACATGCTCAGCACCTTCTGATAAATTAATATAATTTCAGCATGATTATTAAACTAAAACATAGTAAGTTCAGTCTGAACTGTGAGCCAATATGAAGCATGTTTTCTTCAGGTACAGTGTTTTAAGTGTGATGACGGCGGCCTTTCTTCCATCTGTTTTCAGGGCGTTGACCTCCGACAGTACTCCAAACAGGTGGAGTCGGAGCTTCAGAGGATTGAACAGGCCTCCATCAAAGACTGTATCCTTCCTGCTCACTTTGAATATCTGGATGTTTAATGCATTAAAGATAGTTTTTTTGGAGTGACTCAAAATATATTTTGTGATGACCTTGTTATTAAGTTTTATTTTTCTGCTGGATTGGTTAAGAGTATTTTGTCTAATAGAATAACAACTGCATCTTTTTTTTAAACAACTTAACTAAGTGTCTCAAAAATTGAAAATATTTTGTAACTGCAAAACACAAAAGTTTCTATATTTATCAGCAATCACAATATTAAGGTGTGAAAATACTGGATATTGATATTACAAAATACTTTTTTTCTCATTCCTATTAGAGTCTTTAAATACAATAATTGTGACCACAGTATCAGCTTTTGTCATAGCGTACGCGTATTTAGGTTCTTGTTTTTATTGTGAACATGTTTTATTTCATTTGATATACAATATATAAACATTTGGGAGGGTATCTGTAGTTGTTTTCCTGACTGGTCATCTGTCAGACATCAAGGAGAGTCAGAACATCGCTCTTCTGCACAACCAGATCACCGCCTGTGACTCCATTCTGGAGGTAAGACGAGACCCCTGATCCCACAATCCACTGCTGCATGACGAGGTTAGCGTGAGTCAGTAGAAGATATAAAGAATACAAGACAGCAGATGTGTTGCTTTCCCGGCTCAGTTTTTGCTACACAAAACTTGTTACCAGTTCTTTAAACTAGATGTTGTAAATATAAAATGAAGCATGGTTCTGCAGCCGTGTGCGCCTTATTGCGCTGAGTTTATTTAGAAGCTGGAGTTCAGTTGATATTTCTAGATTTTTCAGATTTTCACCTGAAATTTTCCTTCATGTCACCTTAATTTCTTTTTGTTTCTGTCCCTCTGTGCTCCCACCTTACTCGTCTGCTTCCACACTAGGTATCATGTCTTCATGGTTTTGCAGAGTGTGGGGAACGTAAAGCTCTGTCCTCGTCCTCTTTTGTAAAACAGCATTTTCTGCCAATAAATGTCTCTCTCTTCGTTCTCTCCATTTGTTCTTGCAGCGTATGGAGGGCATGCTGAGCGGCTTCCAGAGCGACCTGTCCTCCATCAGCAGCGAGATCCAGACTCTGCAGCAGCAGTCGGTCAGCATGAACGTCCGGCTGAAGAACAGGCAGGCGGTACGCAGCCACCTCAGCCAGCTGGTGGACGAGCTGGTGGTGCCCGGAGCCATGATTTCGTAAGTGTTACCGGGGGGATTTAAATATCTCCTGTTAAATGTACCGTTGAGGCGTGAAAGAGAAGAAGAGTGTCTGTCTGACGTCGTCCTATGTCGTCGCAGCACCATCCTGGACAGCCCTGTGACGGAGCAGGATTTCCTGGAGCAGCTCCACGAACTCAACAATAAGATCAACTTTGCCAAAGAGCTGAGCTTCAGAGAGACGCTGGCGTGCTCCGACATCCAGGACATCGTGGACCGCCTCAAACTGAAGGTGAGAGAGAGAGAGAGAGAGAGAGTGAGTGAGTATATGTTGGGTCTTAAGTCTTCAAATTTACTTTAACAGAATAACAAGGGCTCTAAGTGACTTATCTCAGATGAAGATTATACAAATATCGTGTGCAATAAAAAAAAACTCTGGAAATGGATTTTGTTTATCTCTGAAACTCTGGCTGCTTTTCTCCCGATTTTCTATTTTCTTTTACAAATCAAACTCATGCTGACATGAAACTATATCAATATGTTTGCCTCGCTTCAGGCGGTGTCAAAGATCCGAGAGTTCATTCTTCAGAAGATCTACTCCTTCAGGAAGCCAATGACCAACTATCAGATCCCACAGAACACTCTGCTCAAGTACAGGTGAGCACAGCTGAGCGTCCACGTCCTCAGACTCTTTGTAAAAATATTTTAGTCTACAAAAATTATTCTTCTATCATCTCTAATGTATTTAAATTCTTTATTAGAGGTTTTATTGTTCAGAAAAAACAAAAGTGAAGTCCAGGAAAATGATTCCAAGTTTTCTTACAGCTACATTTAGTTTTCTGGAACATTTTGACTTGACACAGTTAAAGTTGTATACTTGAACTTCATGCACAGAAATGATCATATTTATTCTTATCAAAACCCTCCGTAGTGTAAAAAAGACATAAACTTTCTGACAGTTCTGTCCTTTATTTCTTCTTGCTGTAGATTTTTCTATCAGTTCCTTTTGGCCAATGAAAGAACAGTTGCAAAGGAGATCAGAGACGAGTACGTGGACACGATGAGCAAGATCTACTTCAGTTACTTCAAGTCGTACAGCGGCCGGCTGCTCAAAGTGCAGGTCAGTGGGTTCACACAGGAAACAACACAGTCAAGACGTCTGTGAGCTCATTTCTATTCCATGAAACTCTACACGTGTACGGTGAAATGAGTCCTTCCAAGAAGAAGATACTCTAAACACAGAAGTGTTGCATTAAAAAAAAAGAGATTGTATCAGCAGCTAACAGATAAACTGAGTGGAGGTCAGTCTGACTGCAGCTGTGAGCGCTGCAGACTGTGTTTCGGTCTCTGTGGTTTCCTCTCTTTACCTGTGACCTGAGATTTCTGTGTCCTGTCTGCAGTACGAGGAGGTTGCAGACAAAGACGACCTGATGGGAGTAGAAGACACAGCCAAGAAAGATATCCTTTAAACTGACTGCGTGTGTGTTTCTGAACAGATATTCATATCAAAACCTTTTTCACACGGTACACCACAATGTTTGCTGGTTTCCACACTGCAGGCACTTTATATTCATTTCATCCTTTCAACTTCAGTCATGTAAAAACTTAAATCCAGCTACTAAGATCAATTTAGCTGTTAAATCAAAAGGATCAAAGCGAACAAATAGATTCAGTAATGAAACAGGTGCATGAAAAAGCACAGGCATCTCTGAGGAAGCTCTGATAAAGCCGCCTTACCTGCCCAGCAGCAAACAGCACACAGACACAGTTAGAGATTAGATGGTGAAGAAACGGCTCGATCAAAGAGTGATTTCCCGTCTCCGGTTTCATTGGAAGAATCTTTAGAGGCGTGAAGAGGTTAATTCATGGGAAGGTTCTTGGAAGGGACTGTTTCATTTGGTAGTAGTGCAGTAGCTTTGCAAATGTTTTACGAGGAAGAAAATGCACCTGACGTGTTAGAGCGAGATTTGATGAGAAACACTGAATGTAAAAAGTTTTTTACAGTCAGGTCTCTCTAACTCTTATGACCAAACGTCATAAAGGATGCACGTATAAAATGTAAATCCTCAGTTTGACTCATAAAACAGTTTGATAAGAAAAAACAGCACTCAAAAGTCTACAATAGTATTTTGTAATTTATCAAACCACAAAAGAAAAGTTCAGTCCAGTTTAACCAAAGTAGCAACATAGATTCAGTCCATCACAAAGTAGCAGAGGAAAAACAAAGAAAACTGGCCAGTGAAAGCAAAGGGGGTTTGTTGGACGGAGACAGTAAGGAAACTGGGCGATTATTGTACTCAGCAGTGGTATAGAGGTGGAGTAGTTTATGGTTGGTACAGAAAAATGATTGCATTTGTTGAAGACAACCTCAGTTTTACAGTATTTATTTATTTTTGTCTAACAAAGAGCGTGTTGCTCCACTGCTAATTCTCCTGATCCTCTGTCGATCCTCTCTCCATTTTCCCTCATCCGCTCTTTTCTGAGAAAAGATTCAGCGGTGGCCCCAGGGCAGGGCGAATCAGTGAGTCCGATGAGGAGTGGAGGATTGTTTACAGGGCGGTGCAACCTGATAGTTACAGGTTGTCACAATTTGTCAAATTATCATTCCCAAGCTCACACAAAAACTTTGATACTCAAACAACACTAAAATAAATCCAGTGGAAATGACGCTCATGACTTGTATGTGAACAACAATAGATCTAGTGGTCAGGTTTTATCTGATGGCCCCTTGTAGGGTCCTGACCCGCGGGTTTGGAACCACTCAGAGTCTTTAAGATGAGAAAATTTTTCGACAGAAAATATTTTATTCTTCCCAAACAAGCAAAAACGTTTTCCAACTGACTAACCATCCGCTCAGATAACTGACTCCAGCGCTGAGTGATTCTGAGTTTTAGAAATGTGGGTGAGGTGTTGAGCAGGCGAAGTACCCGAACAACTTAGACAGAAATATCTCTGGTTCTTCTCCAAGCAATAGTGAGACACAGAACTGGCAGAGAATCAAAGTCCGTTTTAAATTAGGGTGGGACAACACGGCTCACACGCCTCAGGTGACCTTACCTACAGGACACCCGGTACACGTGCAAGTGGATGCAGTTGTTACCTGCTCATCTAGATCAGGTGTGTTTGTGTCGCACACGTGGATGAGTGACACATAACGAACATACTGATTAGATATCTGCTCATTAATGACTCACGAGGAACGCCTCGCTAACGCTAAGTTAGACTCAAAGGGTGTGAATGGTCGTTTGAGGCGACGCAGGAAGCTCCTTGACTCCCTGCTGCAGGTTTCTTCTCCAAACCGTCTCTGAAGAGCAGGAACACCATCTTCACCGTGGGCCAGAGGGGGGCCATCCTGAGTCCTGCTGAGCTGGAGGGGCCGATCCTGGTTCCACACACAGCTCAGAGAGGAGACAGCAGGGTGAGACGTCGCAAACGTTCAGACACACAACAGGGCTGCAGCGATTATTTTCATTATCGATTAATTTGTCAGTTATTTTCTCTTATAATATATGGCGGTTTTGGTCCCTAAAATGTCCTCAAACGGCTTGTTTTGTCCACAACTCAAATAAATTCAGTTTAATGTCACTGAGGAGGAAAGATACCAGAAAATATTCACACTTGAGAAGCTAAAATCACAGAATTTCAATTAAAATAGTTGGTGATTAAGTTAATAGTTGACAACTACTTGATTAATCGACCAATCGTGGCAGCTGTAATACACAGCAGCACAACCAGGCTGAGAAATGCTTTGTAGGAGTTTATAGGTCAGTTTTAGTACTCGTGGATCTGAAATGAGATGTTGTGCCTGTGCAGTAATACTGACCAGCGGGGAGTAAAATGTTGACTCTGAAGTGAACTAAAGACAAAGCAGGACTCTCTGAGCTCAGGGTGAACTCAGGACGTGATCACACAAACTCATCATGTAACCGTCTCCCAGCGTGGAGCTGAGGCGCAGAAGCAAACTGTTGATCAACACTGACATCTTGTGGCATCCTGACAGACACTTTGTGAGAACAGAGTGTGTTTAATGGTCACGTTCCTCTCTGTCTCGCTCCTCCAGTATCCCTATGAGACGTTGTTTCGCAGCCAGCACTACGCTCTGCTGGACAACGGCTGCAGAGAGTTCCTCTTCATCTCCGACTTCTTCATGGTGGCAGGAAACTCCGCCCTCGACCTCTTCAACAGCATCATGGGAAAAACTCTCAGCATGTTCCTGGTACGAACAACGCACCTTCTCTTTCAGTGTTTTAAAGGTCGCAGCAGAGAACATTTATTCATATCTCATGACAACGTACAAACAAGATGTATCCTTAACATCTAAAGATGGACAGATGATTGATTGATTGACAGGGACAGCGCACAATTAAAATACCATAGTTAGCTAGCAGCTAATTTGCATCTGTTGTCCCTGGGCAGGTAGACAAAACAAAACAAAAGGCAAAAACAACCACTAAACAACAAATACGCTACATAAAATAACAAAATAAATTATAACCATCAATTCAAAATTGATAAAAACTTTTTTTATTCATACACCAAATGCAGAATACAAAAAATACAATGCAATCATTAATAGTGACACAGTCTAAACTATGACAGTACTTGTAACCTAAATGTACTTTACAGTGTTCAGAACTTTAGCAGTAAACAGGATTTTGTAGTTATTTGATGTGTTTATGTGCTTTTTGTTTGCGTTTCACTGCTGACATTGCATCGGAACAGCAGAAAGGATTGTTCATTTCATATACAGTATACAGTTTTTTACCCACGACCCCAGCTATTATTGGACACCCGGCTTTTATTTGAGAAAACATGGTAATTATTTTATTAAATGTTTTTTCCTCTGCTCTGTAAAGCGCTGTGTGTATACTGAAAAATAAGTTTATTTACTCGTTGTCATGTAAGACTGTGCCAGACTTACCAGATGTTTTTAATTCAATATGTTGGAAAGCCAAACCACACGGTGTCCTATCATTCTGTCCTGTTGTCTGTGTCTGCTCCGTCTCTGCAGAAGAGTATGTCCACGTACGTGTCCGACTGCTACGACAGCATCGCCGTCTTCCTGTGCATCCACATCATCCTCAGGTTCAGAGCCATCACCGCCAAGAGGAACATCCCTGCTCTCGACAAGTCAGTGTCGCATTACTGATCAGAACTATTAGAACAGCCAGAAGAAGTTTTACAGTTTAGTGTGTTGTGAATCAGTTTTGGTGCCTTCAAAGGTCTCGAGACTCACCCAGCTGCAGTAATATATATCTTTGGACAAAATTAATCATTTAGATCCAGTCCAGTTTCCAGTTTTTTAAAGAACTGGATTAAGACAGTGATGACGATAGTAATGAGTCTCACCTGTGTGTGTGTGTGTGTGTGTGTGTGTGTGTGTGTGTGTGTGTGTGTGTGTGTGTGTGTGTGTGTGTGTGTGTGTGTGTGTGTGTGTGTGTGTGTGTGTGTGTGTGTGTGTGTGTGTGTGTGTGTGTGTGTCAGGTACTGGGAGGCGGTGCTGGAGCTGCTGTGGCCGAGGTTTGAACTGATTCTGGAGATGAACATCCACAGCATCAGGAACACAGACCCTCATAAACTGGGAGTACTGGACACCAGACCACACTACGTGGGTCTACACACAGACACACAGGGACGAGGACAAATGCACACTTGCAGTACATTTAACTGAAACAAGTGTGGGTGTGTGTTGGTTTCAGATCACACGTCGTTATGCAGAGTTCTCATCAGCCATCGTCAGCATCAACCAGACATTTCCCAACGAGAGAACCCACACTCTGCTGGGACAGCTGCAGGTATAACACACACACACACACACACACACACACACACACCACTTGAAACCGCTGAATCTGAAGCGATAGAAAACCTAGAAAAGACAAAAGACTTGAGACTGGAGCGGAGGTTCACCTTCCAGCGGCACAATGACCCTGAACATACAGCCAGAGCTACAATGGACTTTAGATCAGAGCATATTCATTTGTTAGAATAACCCAGTTAAACCCATAGAGAATCTGTTGCAAGACTTGAAAATTGCTTTTCACAGACTCTTTCAATTCAATCTGACTGAGCTTGAGCTAGTTTGCAAAGAAGAACAGGCAAAAATTGCAGTCTGTAGATGTGCAAAGCTGAGAGAGACATACCCCAAAAGACTTGCAGCTGTAATTGCAGCGAAAGGTGGTTTTACAAAGTATTGGCTGAATATTTTTGCACGCCACACTTTTCAGATTTTTATTTGTGAACATTTTTGAAAACCATGTATGATTTTTCCTCCACTTCACAATTATGCAGCACTTTGTGTTGGTCTATCACATGAAAACCTAATATTGATACATAACGCTTGTGGTTGTAACGAAAAAAAATGTGGAAAAGTTGAAGGGGTAAGAATACATTTGCAGGCCACTGTATAACAAAACAAAAGCGTCTGTAAGAAAGTAAAATGATTTAAAATTATCTGCATGATAGACCGCGTTGTCTCTTTGTGAATAGATTTTCTTTATTACTTTCTGTCACAAACAGAATTAGATATTAATGACATTTTTCCAGAAACAAAACGAACGAGTATTTGTTTCCCAGGTTGAGGTGGAGAACTTTGTGCTAAAGATGGCGGCAGAGTTTCCCTCCAGAAGAGACCAACTGATCTTCCTCATCAACAACTACGACATGATGCTCAGTGTCCTCATGGTGAGCGTCAACGCTGCATCTTCACATGTTCTTTCATCAAACTGAGTCATTGACTTTCTGGTTATCTGTTCTCGTGTGTTTTCTGTCATTCTCACCTGCTGGAAATGACAATATTCTACTTTTTTATCAAGTCCTTGTGTGATGATTGTTTCCCTCTCGTTTTGCCAGGAGAGGGCAGCAGACGACAGTAAAGAGGTGGAAGGTTTCCAACAGCTGCTTCTGGCCAGGACTCAGGTAAACCTCACAGAGAGGAGTTATGGGAAATCTGGGCACACAAAAGAAGGAAGTGTAACAGGACATAAGAGTTATTTACACACACAGGTATATTAAAAGTGTTAATTGACTCTAGAAACAGGTACAGGGTTACAAACAGAGAACTAGAAACTGGATATGAGGGTCACAGTTAAACAGATTAGGAGATGATGTCATTGGTTTTATGCAAATTTAGAATTATATAATAGATGCAACCCTGAGTTATGGGCTTAAACACAAACCGATGCGATTCAAGTATTTCCTCTGTCTTTTTGGTCAGTACCTTTTTGTTGTAAAACTTTCTTTTTATTTTAATGTTAGAGAGAGCGTGATGTGTGTGGACGTATTCTTGTATCACAAAAGTCAGAATTAACTGGATTCAACCACAGACTGTATATAAGAAGAGGACGTAGTCATGGTGACGTCACCCGTTGGTTTGTGGACTGCTGTTGAAGCCTTCGAGTTTGGCCGATAGGGCGCCGCCATGTTGAGTTTTTGCAACCAGCGGCACCGGACGTGACCATATTTGGACGAGAAGGTGGAGCTAACGGCCGTGTGTGGAGCTAGCTAGCTTGCTTAGCTTGGTGCTTCTGTAATTCACGTTAACTGTCATTTTAACAGGGCTGATAATTTTAAAACCAGCCTTAAAATGAAATGTCCTCACCAGAGAAAGTGAACAGCCGACTCCTAATAAGCTTTTTCAGCAGCGCTGGTTAAATTTGCACAGTGCTGTGGGTACGAGTCACTCTAGCCTGATTGACAGGTCGTCATTGTAACGACTTGTCAATTATAGATAATCCCGCCCTGAAGCATCCTCTGCTTTCTGATCTATTTTCCTCTAAATGAGACCATAATTTACTAAATGAACATCATGCTGTGTTGAAGAAGACTTGAATCTAGCGACTGAGACCATAAACTCATCAGGAAAGTGTTTACTGAGGGAATAAATCAGCTGACAAGTACAAACATTTCACTGTTATTTCTAATGGAGCCGGACTTCTTTTTGCAACCAGAAGAGTCGCCCCCTGCTGGCCGTCAGATAGAATGCAGGTGTCAGGGACGAGTCAGATCGCTGACGGAAGCTTCCCGCTTGGATTTAAGTCTTGATTTTCTGTCGTGGATCTTTTCTCCTTTAAACAAAACTCATTTTAACTATTTGTAACCCTACCTTTAATGTTTTTTTCCTCCTCCCCCCTCTAGGAGTTCATCGAAGAGATTCTGTCTCCCCCCTTCGGAGGGATGATCGCCTTCGTGAAGGAGGCCGAGGCTTTGATGGAGAAAGGGCAGCTGGATCGATTAAAGAACGAAGAAGGTGAGAGGAGTCGATTTGATCAAATACTCCATTTAAGATTTCTAAAAAAAAAAGATGGAAGGAGAATATCTTTTTATCTGGATAAAGCAACAACAATGAAAGACAGACACAGATTTTTATCCTGCATCCTGAACAGGACAGCCTCACAGAGCTGCTGCTGTGGTAAAATCACTCATTCGTTTTAGACTCTTTCACTTTGTGGTTCAGTTTTGTTTTACTAAGTAATGAATAGCTTTCCTTCATAGTCACTCAGCCGTCCTCTCAGTTTTGTTTCTCTCGTCACTCTGAGGCTGCAGAATTTCTCACTTACGACGTCGCTTCTGCTTCCCACATCCTTTCTTTGTTTCCTCACAATCATTGCATCATTCCAAGTCTGTATGGTCTCTCGCACATGCGACAAGAAACACGAATAAAGAAAAGGAAACAAAAGCAACAAGGCAGATGTGTGCAGTGAGGCGATCTGCCCCAGGAGCAGCTGCTGCTCTGGCTCATGGACATGGGAGACGCTGGGCCCAGGTGTGCCAGTTAGGTCTGCAGCTGTGGAGACTGCAGAGGGAATGTCCCAGTGACCAAACTCCCATCATATAGAACTTCATACATGCCTTAACTTCTCTGTGTGCGTGTGTGTGCGTGTTTCTGCTGCAGCTCGCATCACTCAACTGGTTCGGGGGTTTTCCAGTACGTGGAAGCAGTCGGTGGAGTCGATGAGTCAGGACGTCATGAGGTCATTCACCAACTTCAAAAACGGAACCAGCATCATACAGGTGAGACAGCAGACAGGTGTGTCGTGCTCCTGCGCCTTTAATTTCTAAATGTGTGTGTGTCTCTCTAAGAGTAAATAAGTGGTGGAGTTAAGTCATGACCACTTCCTGTTTCCTCCTGCAGGGCGCGCTGACCCAGCTGATCCAGTACTACCACGGCTTCCACAAGATCCTGAACCAGCCGACGTTCCGCAGCCTAGCCGTCCGCTCCGAGCTCATCAACCTGCATCACCTCATGGTGGAGGTGAAGAAGCACAAACCCAACTTCTAACCGTGTGCCCCATCATCTGCGTCATAAACAAGACACAGGCTGATTGTTTTTGAAACAGGATGCCTGAAAACACCTGGAGTCTGGAGGTGTTGAGTCCTTCCATTCCCCCTCCCACAAGCTGAGCAAAGCAAGACATTTTTTCCACAGAGTTAAATAAGTAATCAGAGTTGGACTTTAAATTAGAATCCTTCAGATTTCAGCCCCTCATTGGTTTGGGCGCTCTGTAAGTGGTGGTAACTGTGTTTTACTACCACAAGAAGGTGAACTGGTACATTTGTTTATCGTGCAGCCATTTTACATTTAAGTCAGTCAGTAATTGTCGTGCTATGAACACACAGTGAATGGACTTATGTTTCTGAGAAGTTGGAGTTCTTCACCCAACAGCTCACTCTGGCTGCTCCTGACTCTCCATGACTCACCCACAGTTTTCCAACTCAATCCACTGACAACAAAATGGCCTCTGTCGTGTTTTGTAGACTTAAAGAAACGATCGCAGTCTCTCGTGGCTGCTTCGCCATGAAAAACACTAGTTGACGTCTTTTTAAAGGGAAGTAGCAGCGGTAAGAAATGCAGCTTAATCCAGCTCTGACACGTCTGTATGAGATCAATCCCATCAAGTTACAAACACTAACACTGCATCGTATCCTCCTGTGTCTGTGTGAAGGAATTTTGAATTCCCGCTACTGACAATGAACACTATTAAATAGGCAGACCACAAGTAGTGACTAGGTTTATTAAAACAACAACTTTTCCACGGGCCAAAATTTAAGATCAGAATTTGGACCTTAATTATGAAACACTGGTTTTTAATTTAATCCTGAAGCAGAATTCATACACTGATAGGGTTTGTAACCCTACTCTAGAGAGGGAGAAGCTCTTGCAAACACTTGAAAAACCATTTTTGCCCGTCTGTGATGCAGTTGAGAAAGCTGGTGATATTCTGTATTTTTCTTATTTTCTGCAAATCCCATGAAAAAAGACCCAAACCAACAACTTAGTCTGTCTCAATACGTCCCAACTTCCTGTCTGTGGTTCTCAACTCAGAGCTCACTGGTTCCTCCTGACAATAACCAACTTTAGATTTAAAAACAGCCCCAGTAATTTCCTCAGACAACGGCTCACTGTAGTTTTTAATCAAACAAAACAGGAGCAAATAGTGCAACATGAAGAACAATATTGAATATCACCTCACTTAAATGTTAAAGTTGTGTGCCTTTGCTCATATATGTTGCTGTGCAGTTCATCGTGCTGCTGTGTGAATCTGAATGTGAAGTCATTCCTGGTCTGGAGTTTAAAAATGAACGATGGAAACATGACACGATTGTGTTTGCTTGTTTTATTTTCATCTATTTAAGATTTTAGTTCGAGTTAAGTGGAAATCAAGAAATCATAATTGAATCAATTTGTTCAAAAAGACAAAAGAATATATTTGAATACCAAAAATGTATAAATACCATCAATATGACCGATCACACCAAAAAGTATATTAACTACAAACATTTTACATTACTGTTGATAGATTTGCATTGAAATCCACCTGTGGCTGTCTGAAAGCAGGAAATCAATCTAATTACAATAGTATTTAATTAGATACAAAAATATCATCTGGATAGTTTAAATAATGACAAACATACAGATTTTCAGTGGCAGATTCACCAAATCAAATTTGGTTCACATTTTTAAGTTTTAACCTCTTTAAACTGAGAAATTTGCTTCTGTTAACCTGTGAGGATCCCAGTCAGGAAATACTCCTGTACATATGATGTATATATAAAAACATTTGTTGTTTTTATATACACTTGTATTGACAAATAAGCATATACATACAGCATGTAAATGATGGATTTCTAAACATAGAGCCAAGATAGCCCCTCTGCTTTCAGCTGTCATACTAAACTACGCAAATGGACACATATCCAAGTGTATGGAACACCAATGAGGTCGTTATTCGTCTCCTTTTCCCTGCCCTCATGTTTTATATCGTATATATATATATATATATATATATTTTAATTGGTGTTTATTAACGCTGTCGCAGGCGGCGCTCAACGTTTGTGAATGCTGCCCTACGCACACGCACACCTGTGGATCTGAACGCCATCCTGTACGATGACAACAACCCCAGCGTGCGTCTGTTCACACTGGCAAAATGTAAGGAAACAAAAGTTGTTGTTTTTTAAAATCAAAAACAGGCTTCCGTAGAACATATTAGTTCATTAAAATACAACTGAGAACATGACCACAAATAGTAAAGTATATGAAAATTACATGTTGCTTCTAAAAGTGTGAGAGAAGAGATTACTTAAAATATAAATCTTCGGAGTCCCAAGTAGTTTTAATGAACTCTCATGTGTCTTTTTTCAATTAGTTTATATTCTTTATATTTAATTCTTCTAAAAACAGGAGCTCTACATTTGTGTAAATAATATTTTGCTTGCAGAATCAAATTGTTTGCAAGGTATTCAACCTTTTTTGTCCTGTTTAGTAATTCCAAAAGCAACAATGTTATTTATTTCCTTACATTTCACCGGCGTAAACACGTGCACGCTGGCGTTGGTGTTGTCATACAGGATGGCGTTCAGATAGCTTGCAGGCTCACGGCGTTTATAAACAACAGCTGGAGAACTAAATCAACATACGCATAAAACATCGAACGGCAGGGAAAAGGAGACGAATAATGACCTCGTCGGCTTTCCTTACATGGTCTTAATCTTCTCATCTAACTCTGCAAAAAAAAAGAAGATTTCAAAGAAATGTTGAACTATTTAAACACATTTTGTCTGAAAATGCCGTTCAAACAAACAAAAACTTTTCTTCAGTCAAATCACATCTCACACACTTAATTTACAGTTGACATAATTCCTCTCACGGCTTATATGGTGCAATTGAAATATAATATGGGTTAAAGTTCAGAAGCACGATAATAATATCTGACAGAAACATTTATATTGTTTGTTAAAGTGTACAGAGATCTGTGTGCGGTTTGCAAATTTCTCAGTGATGAAGAATGTGGAAACTCGTGACAAGAACAGACAAGATGAGGAGAGCTGAGCAGCTACTTTTGGCAGCGGCGTCATCTGGAAAGATATCAGAGGTTGGAGATAGAGGGTTTATTTCAGGTTATCTGAATATCTGGTTCATTTGCCAGAATAGAAAGGTTATTTTTCTCACCTGTTGTTTCTGGATACTCCTGAATCTGGTGGACTTTCAGAGCAGTGGAGTTTTCTGGGAAACGGTGAACAGTAACATGTGAAAATAATGCAAATTATACCTCCACATATATATCAGTTTAAGGACAGGAACATATTCTGCAAGGCTATAAGAAGAAGGAGGAGGAGGAGGAGGAGGAATGCGGCGGGTACAGTTTTAACTGTATTCATTTATAAAACTCAGTAAAAAAAACAGTAAGAGCGCTGAACATTTAAAAAACAATTATCAGAAGAATGCAGTTCCTAAAACCTGACGTGACATCTTCATAATGTCTTTGTAGGACCAACAGTCCCAAAGCCAAATACATTAAATTTACAAAAACAGGAAAAAATCCTCACGTTATTTGGCTTTTTTTATTTTGCTGGATAAATAACTTCAACGATCAACTTATCAACCAATCGATGCATCTACTAATGCACCAGGGGGTAAAGCAGGCCTCTCACCTTCCACAGAGAGCTGCACGGTGCTGACAGCGAGGCCATTTTCATCCAGAACTTTGTACGTTCCTTCATCTGAGCTCTTCAGTTTCTTAATCGTCAGCTGCTCTCTCAGCGGATGTTTCTCCAGACGCTCACTGTTTGCATCCCCCTTCATCCACACGTCCAACCACTCCGAACTGTTCCTGTGCAGCAAAGTTTGGTAAAGTTTGGTAACTGTGAAACATAATTCCCGACATCACCATCGTTTGTTCAAAATGTTTAAATATACTGGGGAAATTATTCATTGACTGGATCTATTAAGGAACCCTTGATTTTTATTTCTATTTTCAAGCGCACAGAATTTCCAGCACTGAATTACTTTATATTTTCGCCAAAGCAGCTGAAAAAGACTTGCAAGGCCGCAATCAAAATGAGGAGGGGGGGGGGGGGATCAATTGGAGCAGGCAGAATTATAAACGTTAAAGACGACTTTACTTTCATTTTCTGAGAGACCATCTGATGAGGGATTCAGACGAAACGCACAAGAATGAGTAGTTTCTGTACTTTCTGTGAGGGAGTGCGTAGATTTAACCATAGCATCGTTTTTTTCACCCTGATATTTCCTGCAGTTCTTGACATCTTTTGTCTCAAGCCAATTCAGCGATCCGCACAATGACCTCTTCCTTCATCCATGTCTACAGTGAAGTTATCCCATTTAACATGCGTTTTTGAGGTCAGTTCAATTTAGTTTAACTTTGGCATGAAAATCAGGGGGGTGTGCAGAGCTATTACTGTCGATCTGCGCAATGCTGAATTGGTGTTGAAACATCTGAGTCTTTTGACCTTGACATAACTGTTGCTGCAACAAAACATCAGATTTATCATGAAGGGCAAACAGTTGCACCAAACAAAGAGCTGCTAAGTGTTCAAAATAACAACCACCTGATATCAACACTGCTTTTCAAATGTCCTCACTGTACATAAAAAAATAAATAAATAAATCTACTTTGATTGTAATTGTTTGGCAAATTTAAAACATTCTGCTCAGCAATAACAATATCTTGACCTTTCACAACTGAATGCACAGCGGTTATATAGGAGCAACAAAAGTGATCACGTAGACAAAACAGCTGCCAGCTGGTGGCTGATTAAATGTTCTGTTTCAGCTCTGAAACATGTATAAACATCCTGCTGTGGAGCTTAAAACAAACAGTAAATGTCCCAGCAAAAGACTGATTGTTAATGACTGACTGAATTGATGAATTAATAATTAATAAATGTGTTTATGGTACACAAGAAGAGCTACCTACTTTGGAAAATTCTCCTACGTAGTCTTTTGTTTTCCTAAACCCACGAATCTGTCTGTATTCAGCTTCTATTCTGTAAGCAGACGTCATAGCGTGACTCATAACTGCAGGCAGCCTGTAATTTGCTTTTATTTGATGCAAATAATGGAGACGAGACACGTAATTAGAGATGAGAGTAGGTGAAGTGTGAAAAGAAGAAATGAAGAGGAAAGAAAAGATTGGAGCACACGTGAGAAAAGGACGGAGGACGTGAATGTTCAGCTCACCTGCCCTGGAAGACCACTCTCACAGAGTGACGTGTGTGGAGATCCAGAACCAAGTCCTGACCTGGACTGTGAGACTGAAAGGATTTGTGGTCTGAGAAAAAGAAAACAGCATTGTTATAGACAAATACAAACGAGACGTGCGAAGACGTTAGATGAAAGACCAGAATGAAAAGTTTACCAAAGTGGAATGAAAACGAACAATGAGTCAAGAGGAAAAAGATTATTTAATTTGAGGTTAGAGAGACTGGAAAGGGGGGCGGGCAAAAACACATGAGATATGAGTGTAGAGGAGAAAACATGACGTGCCAGGAAAGAGAGAAGAAACGATAAAGGAGAGCAATGGAGGAAGGATGAGATGAGAAAAATTGACATTATACAGAAATAGACGAATAAAAAGAAATGACTTGAGAAAAGGAGATGAGATTCAATCAGATGAGAAGCATTGAAAACTTAGAGTAGGACAAAAAGTCACGAGGGGAGGTGCACGATCAGAGAGGAAACAGCAATATGAGATGAGAAAATTAGGTGCAGTTTGAAAATGAATCCAAGAAGATGATGATGGTGTAGGACGAAAGAGAACGGGAGAACTGAGGGATGATCTCTCATGAGATGAGGTTACAATCCCTCGTTCGAAAAGTCGAAGAGATGAGATGGAAAAACACGAGGAGAAACATCAAGACGATATTATAACAAATCAGTAAACAGAAGAGAAAGTGGAACAAAACCCAACTAACCAAACACGGACAGCTTGACGCTCTGAATGAAGACCCTGGTTTTTGCGGACCTCCCTCCATCCACCACCATGAAGCTCTCGTATCTCCCCGTGTCGGCGATCTGGACGTCGCTGATGATCAGGGAACAATCCCCGGACCCGAGCTTCTCCTTAGGAACCTCCACCCGGCCCTCAAACACCTCCGCCTGCCACATCTGCTCTCCCCACAGCTCGAACACGGCCTCGACCGGGGTCCTCCACTGGATGTGGCAGGCGGACGGGGCCACCTCCCCCAGACGTGGCTTCCAGCTGCAGGGAAGAACCACCTTGTCTCCCACCGTGGAGATGACAGACTGGAAATGGCTGGCAGAGGACAGCGAAGAGGAGTCTGGAGAGGAGCGAGGCAGTGAAAGAGAAAATAGACGTCCTTTAAGATGTTAAAAAACATACTAGTACTACTGCTTTGCTTTGGTCTGCTTTCTGTCCCCAAACCAAACCTGGAGAAGCAGCGTTCACTTTTTGTGCTCCATTTATCTGGAACAAACTCCAAGAAATCTGCAGGTCTGCTGAAACTCTCAGTTCGGGCCTCTGGTTATGTTTCAGATGTCTATGAGTTGTTATCAGTTCCACCAGAGAGACATTTGGTTCTCTTTTTGTAAAACACAAGTTCACATTGTCATAGGTCTACTACCATTTTTGGTGTGATCGAGATTTCGGTTACAAAGAGAGAGAGAGAGAAATATTCTCTTGCACTTTTGACAAAAAAAAAAAAAAAAAATCCCAACTCAAGCTCCACTTACTAGCATGTTCCAGGGCCTTCAGTCATATCACACGGTCTTCATCAGTGGGAGGAGTTTGCGTAGTTGTCATGGAGATTGATCTGTTGACATGCAAGCTGTTACGACTTCAAAAGCAACTTCTCGATCACGCTGGGTCCAACGGCAGGCATCAAACTCCACTCTTGGACATAACGGTTGAATATCAGTGTGAGAGACGGTTGAAAGCTCTGGAAAAGCTTGCACGTGGACCTTGAGTTGGGATTGTTGTGCCAAATTTTTATTTTCAAGGTCAAAAATTAACTTCAAGTCCTCAAACAACCCTCTGACATGACTGCACTCAAAATGTGCTATTTTCATACAAAATGTTTTGATTTTTAATTCAGATCTGCATCCACCAACTGCTGGGGAGAATAGCAAATGCAACTGGAACGATATCTACAAGGTGTGATTTATCATTTAGAGTCTAGTTGCACTTTCATATATCGCATTTTTATCTGTGTTTTAGCAGCGTTGATCTCTAAAACCTTACAACATGTTGTCCCTGTTTCTGCAGAACAGACTGAACATCAGGTGTTACAGCACAACAGTGTGTGTGCGTGTGTGTGTGTGTGTGTGTGTGTGTGTGTGTGTGTGTGTGTTACTCACCAACTAAACTGCCAACCAGGAAACACAGCAATAGCTTTATGAAGAACCTGAAAGAATCAGAGGATTCATGAGAAAAGAAACCAGCAATAAGTCTATGGCAACAGACCACACCCACATAATCTAACAAATAAAAAAGCTTTTATATGAGTTTTTATGGGATTTAATTAGGACACATTATTAATTTAAGTTTGTTTTAAAGGATGTAAGATTTAGGGATTAGAGAGTTTAATTTTTTTTGTGTGGAATTTTTTGTATTTAAATGGAAAGAAATGAATAATTCTGCCTAAATAATCCAGAATAAGAGACGTTATGAAAATATACACTTGTATTTAATATTTGAAGTTTCCAACTTCTTCTGCGCAGCAGATGTCTGACTGATTCATATTTAAAAACTGAAGCTAAAATCCTGTTTATGTCAGAGCTTTAAAACAGGAGTCACGAGCCAGTGAGAGTTTTAATATTGACTGTAGGTCTGAAGCTGTGTTCTGTTGCTTCAGGCATTTCTGCACATTCAACATCTGTGTTTCAGCAGACTTCATACTGAATTAACAAATGTAGCCTGTGACTATTTCTTATTAATTGCTTTTTATTATTGTCTTGTAATTTGAAGCTTAATTGGCATCACTGCCCTGGTGAGGATAATTGCATCTAATTGACTGCGAAGGTTATGTTTCGTTTCTAGATAAGTGTTGGTTTCCACAGTAACGAAACCGCAGGTGTCCGCAGGGTGTCCGCTTGGTTGCAGTTTGCACAACGAGACAGATTCCTGCTGCAGTGACCTGAATGACCCTGCATGCACCTTTTATTCTGCAGGTATGTTCAACCTGCAGCCTGGACGTGTATTTACCGCCATATGTATAAAAAAATAATTCTGCATCTAGTTAAGGGACTATGTAAAAAAAATATACATAGGCAATATAAATAAAACAGGTGTAAATACTCCAACTCAATGTGAAGGAAAACATAAAGCGTGCTGTTTCTTACCGGTGTCGTTTTCTGACGGTTTTCATGATGTCTTCTGTTCGGAAACTTAGTTCAGTCCTCTTCTCTCCGCTCCAAGTTCTGTGTGATGTCTGTTTACAATCAGCTGGGATCCCCGTTCTTCTCCTGCCACGCTCTAAGTTTCGATTTCCTGTGTGTGTTTAACAAAATAAAAGTCCTTGTAGCACGGCTCGCAAGGTGAGAATAAGAAACAATATGAGCATAAAGTTATTGACCGGCCACAAACTGTTCTGAACTAAAAAAGAGGCATTATTTATTTTATGTTTGTTTGTTTGTTTACTGACATTCATTTTACCTACTGTATCCTGGTCCAAGCTTTTGTATATTTTTGTATTTTTATTATTATTATTTCTTAATAAAACTTAATAATTAAGTGATTGAGGGCAATTCTCTATGTGGCCCCATCAAATGTAAATGTAGTCCCTTTCTTCCAACAAAGAGTGTCCTTTAAAAACACTAGGGACATTTTGTGGGGCTTTTATTTTGAAGGACTTCCTGTTGGTCTGACATAAGCATGTGAGTTGATTGTTCTCCGCAGAAACGAAACCTAAGGACTGCAGCTTGCGTTAATCAGTTTCAGCCCTGTCTTCAGGAGAAGTGTGTGTGGTTGCTGTGTAAGTGGAAAATCTTCAGTCTTCCGTTTTCTGGCCCAACTAAGATGCTGTTGGTGGTCTCTACTGTTTTTTTAATGCATAATAAAATCCCCACACACTTCCTTCCACTAAAACACTTTGTTCACTTTAGTGAACTGGCCAGACCTCCTGCTCCTGCAGCTGCACAACAAAACCTCCACAGTGTTTTCCTAGATTATGGCAGGTCTCACATGGATCCTCTCTTTGCTTTGTAAGTTAATTTATATTTATATTTTCTGATTTAAATGCAGGGCAGAGCACAAGGCTTCACTTTAGGTATCAAATTCAAGGGCGTGTCACTTGAGTTTCAAGGTTGGCGACTGTGTGGGAAAAATTCAAGGGTTTTTAGGATAAGATAAGGCTTAACTTAGAAGGTTAATGTTTTGTTATGTCTGGTTGTGTTTGTTTTGTCTATGCGTTTAAGTCATGGATCAGGTGGTGGTGTGGTGGTGGTGGAGGTGGTGGTGGTGAAGTCACACCTGAAAATGTAAAATCTAAACTGAAAGAAAACAAGCTGAGACCTGTGCCTGTCCTCTGGGTTTGTCTGTGTTGCAGCCGGTCCGCTCAGTCTTGCTCTGCACTGGGACAGACTTTTGCTTTAGGCTCAGTTGGATTATATGAAGTATTCAGATCCTTCACTACAGTAATACTAATAGGACAGGCACATTGTTAAATCTGCAGATGACACAGTTGTTGCTTCATGGAACAGAGTCATTGGCCTTTTGCACAGTGATTATTTCCAAAACCAAAGATAAATGTTATTGACTTCCACCTCCCCAGACTGTTAAAGGACAAGAAGGGACTGCAAAGGCTGTTTTATCTGCCGAGGTTAAATGTTTTTAATGTTGACAGACACCAAATGGTGCTTATTCTACAGATCCATCATAGAATCTGTCTTTAACCTTCTCACTGATTTATTTCTGTGGAACTGTGTCAGCAGAAAGCTCTCCTCTCATTAATGAATTGGACATCCACTCGGGTCAGAGATGTAGGTCACCAGAAATGAAGTATTAGCAAGATGTTCAAGATTTCATTTAATCTAATAAATTACAATCTGCATCCTGCTTCCTCACACAGCTCAGCACTTTCTTTGTCTTTGCTTTATTCTTGTAGTTTTTATTTAGCCTTTGTTGCTTTGATCAACCTTTCTATGGATATTTCCTGAAAAACTATATTTAATTTAAATAACTAAATGTATCTAATCCAGATGTAAAAATACTCTGTACAAGTAATATTCCTGCAATGATACTTAAAAGTATGAAAGTACCTTAAAGTTAAAAGTTAAACTCCCCTGTGACATCATTAGATTATTATTCCTCGTGCATAAAAGCAGGATGTTACTGCTGTCGTTGTCGAGGTGGAGCTCATTTTTAACTATTTTGTATCTGACTGCAACTAATAATTCTTTTTATTGTGGATCAATCTGCTGATTATCTCCATTCAGCGACTGTTTCAGCTCTACTTGAGTATTAGCTAGTAGTAACTGTGATGTACTTTATTTTTGTATGAAAAACATCTTAATTTGTAAAGTGACTGGTTACTAATGCTGTCAGATAATTGTTTTGAAATAAAAAGTATTAAATATTAAATAAATACTGAATATTTCCCACTGATGTGTAGTGGAATAGAAGTAGAAAGTAGCGTGAAAAGAAGAGACTTGACTAAAGCAAGTATGGTACTTGGTAAATATACTTAGTTTGATTCACTGTGTGCAGGAAAGCAAAATGTTTCCACACTGACTCCTCGGGTTCAGTGGGTTGAGCTGCATGCAACGTCGGGCTGGGGATCAAACCTCAATAGTGTTTTGGTACTGACGGAAATGTGTCCTCAGCACAGAATATCAGAAACATATTTCCTGATGTTTTTTATTCCTTTAATCTTTGTGTGGCTCATCAGATTTAAATTGGGACCCCTTTAAGTCAAGTCCTCTAAAGGAAATCATAGGTGTCCTTTACACTGGGGACGCTGGGGACATGTCCCCACCACTTTTTGAAAAACATTTGTTAAAAATGTTCTGAAAATAGCCTGCACCAAAAAAGGTGACTAACAAATGAAAAGGCTTTGAGAATGATTTGTTTGCACAACAAGAAAACATGCAGTGCAATTTAAATATGGAAGAAACAAAAAGCTGCATTACTGCATTGTATTCTGTTATATTTTTGTATTTATGAATAAATGCAGACATTTCCACTATAAATTGGAGCAGAAAATGTCTCCAGAATGCAGGAAATTAAGTCTTTAATGCTCCAATTTTCTGGGACCCCCAGAGGCCCCTTTCAGCATTTCATATTTCTTTAAAATAGTGTTAAAAATCTTCACCTCTTGTACTCGTGCATCGTCATTTCTCGTGATCCAAGTGTATCATGCACCACTTTTCAACTCAAAGTGAAGCCCTTGAGTGAAATCAGCCACGGTTACTCCGGTCTGACCTTCCTCCTCACCTGTCTTTACCCTCCTCAGGTGTTGCAGCGTGTCACCTGTCTTCAGCCTCACCCGTTCTCCGCTCTGCCCTGTTGGTCCAGGCTGGGCAGAACGCCTTGCTGACCTGCAACCTGACGTCCAGCAGCACGATCACCTGGTACTTTCTGCACTCAGATCAGCTGCAGCCTCTGCTGACGGTTACATTAGGTAAACTGGGAGTAGAAACAGTCGAGTTCCACTCCGCAGACAGCCGCATCAACAAACAGGGAGATCTGGAGAGCGGCCAGGTCAGTCTGGAGATCCTGGAGGTGGAGCAGAAGGATGCCGGGCTGTATTTCTGCACGGGGCAGTGTGAAGGAGGAGTTTGTGTTAACAGAGGAATTCATCTGGCTGTGGATGGTAAGAAAGTCATTTACTTATTTATAAATAAGTTTTAAATGAGATTTTAGCTGAATTTAGACAGTTTATCTCTGAGGAGGATGATGAATACAAATAATTCACAATGAACAGAAGGACAACTGAAGGATTGTACTTTAGCAGGAGAAAAAGCTTCTTCAGTATTAGAAATGCATGCAAGACGAATACAGCAGTGCTTTAAGCTCACAGTTTGCAGGTCATCACCATAAAGAAAAGTATTGGGCAAACATTTGATCTGATGATGGTGCTGGAGGAAACGTTAAGAAATCACCAAATTACTGCAATTCATACAATTGTTGTTGACACATTTCACTAATTGTCAACCTGTTGGTGGCGCTAGAGGGAAAGTCAGAGGATCACCAAAGTCAGTAGGACTCGTCATCTGGGGAACATGAATGTCTGTACAAAGTTTTAGATGTGATAACTTGAACTTCATGCATGATTTCCCGCCTAAATACCCTTCTAAACAAAGATGAAAAGTCATTGTTTTGAAGAACCATTAAAAGTCAACGCCCAGCTTCATTTGACAATGTTCCAATGTGTGTTACTGTAAGAAGTCGATACCAGTTTTTCTTTTTATTTAAGATCTTTAGAAAGACTAAGTAAAGGAAAGAGTCTATTTGAGATCAGTGGTTAGCATGACTTCATCTCATTATTATCCAACTTCTCCTCTCTTCACTGGATAATCCGGTTATATGCAGAATAATAAAGTAATTTGAAGCCCTTCTGCATTTGATATCTACATGTTTCACATGGAGTGTCGAAGGTTGCAGGTGAATTAAAACAACCTTTCATTTGGTTTCAAACCGGCCAGACAAATTCTGACTGTTGTTGTGGTTCACAGGAAAATGATAAAGAGTAGCCTAGTGTTTTCCCCAGCTGGAGCTTGTCTCCCCACTCCGGATGAAGCTGACATATATTTCCAGAATGTTTAATATCGGACATCTTAAGAAAGACCAGAGGTCAAAAACTAAATCAATCAGTCAGTGAACTGTTCCTGTGTTCTGTGTTTCCAGGAGCTGACGGGGAGCCAACCAGGCAGCCGTGTTGGAGTCTGGGGATCTGTGTTCTTCCAGCCTTACTCCCCCTCTGTTTTGTTTTCATCGCTGGAGTCTACCTGTGCACAGGTGTGAAGTTGGTTGTGTCCTCTAGTCTATCTTTTGGAGGACCAAAAGTTTAGACAGTGAGAGAGACGGCATGTTTGGACACTTCTTCAAACTTTAACTCTTGGTATTAAAGTGAGAATTAAGTTTAGGTTAAGATTAGGTCTGTGTGTCAGTGTCACCACCCAGCGGTGGAAAGCAATTACAATTACTCAAGTACTACTTTACTTGAGTAATTCCATGTTATGCTACTTTATACTTTCTGTTACTAGTTACTTTGCAAATTCAAGTTATTAATGCAAAATATAATAAATTAAGACATTTTATTTAAATATTATAGATGAATTACTCAGAAATATATTGTTGTGGTAAAACTTTATTTTACCTACATGACTTTGTTAATTATATATCTACTATTGTGTACTTATATTCAACTTTTGTGGTACTCCCATGTGAACTCAAGCTTTTAAGGCCACTGCAGAGAACAGTCTCCTTGCTTTAAATGCTGTTTGTCCTCTGCTTGTGGCCAGATGCTGCAAGCAGGTAGTGCTTATG